AGAACCAGATGCAGGCGAGGCTAGATAATAATAACATAAAGCTAAATTTTATTAAAAGTCATGGAAAATCCGTCACCTTATGGACTATATACAAAATAAGATTATAAAGAACGTCGTGCCAATAGAAGAAATATGTTACGACGAATCTATAGTTGGATATCATGGATATCTTGTGAATAGTCCATAAGGGAAAAGCTAATGAGATTTGGATTTATCATCAAGTCGCTAAACATGTAATGTAAACATAGCAAGAAAATAAAGAATAGAAAAAATAAGGGCTAAGTACATAGAGAAGAGAATAATTATTCAAAATAATTATTATATATTCCAAATTAAATAAAGAATAAATTCGATACAGTAACGTATACATGTTAATCGATACAAAGAAAAGCAATTTGACCCAGTTAGTTGCATGACACGAGCCAGTATCAGTTGCAACAATTGATCAAAAAAGAAAATAGTCACGTTTTAATAAACACAGACCTACGCTGGAAATTTTCACCAGCGCCGACCTGGTTTAAATCATGAGGACTCAGCAAAAAAACTCGACCTTGGTACTACAATCGGCATTTGAGAATACGAGCTCAATGAAAACGAAAAGAACGGAGGAAGCCCGGTCCGTCAGTATCTTCGGGGACTGTCAAGGCGAGAGGCGACACCAGGTGCGGTTTACGCGCGATTGTTATATTTCGACGGGATATAGTTCCGTATAAGTGTCGGGTACAGAAAGAAATCCGATTTCCAGAGGAACTGAAGGGCGTATCATTAGCTAAAGCCTAAATACGCGAAAGGTAACAAAATTCCATATTATATTAACCCGAGTAAGTTATAGTAGTACAGATTGTCACCCCTTTACTTTCTGGCTAAGATCTCTTCTCGTCTCCCTTCGCGCCGAACGAGTTATTATTGGTTATATCTGACAGCTTGTTAACTTAATTGTAAACCACATAGTATATTCAATACATTTGTAGACTCTAAATTTGGTTTTTATGTTCCTTGTGGCCGATTCAGACAGAGACCAGGAGAGAACCAAATTTAGGCTTATACATTTATCCGGCTTCTAAAGTAAGCCCATAGACTCAACTCTTTACAGGACCTGAGACCTAGAAGCCCTTAAATCCCTACCCCGAAACTACTCTACCTTCTCGTTATTCCACGAAGGCGAGCCAGTTATTCCAGACCAGAGGGACCAGTAGCCTTGCAGCCGCTCGCAGAGATAAGCATCCTAAAGGTCCATATCGCTGTTACAGTGGTAACAGAGTTGTACAGTGGTGAAGATTTTCTCACTGTCTAGTTCCAGATTTTACAATAGAGCATACAACCTCCTCTTAGTTGTACAGTGTTAGTTGTTCTCTCCCAGAGTTGTACAAACACAACAGACGGTTATCTAATCAATTTTGATATATATCAGGAAAATATCCCAAAGTCCGCTATAAACAGCGTCAAAACCAAATAAGAAGAAAAATTAGGGAGGCTTAAGAAAGCTACTTCTCTATACAATGTAAAGAAATAGAAGAACTGCAAAACAGATATGACAACTTTAATCTACATAAAAAAGTCAAAGAACTAGCCGGAGTGGGAAATCGAAGAACCACAAATATATTAATCGACAAAAATGGAAATATTATATTGGAGACAGAACAAAAACTACGACGATGGAAAGAATACATCGAGGAATTATTTCATAACCAGAGAGAAGCTAGTACATCTGTAGGTAGCCAAACGGGAGATGTAGGCCCAGAGATAACCAAATCAGAGGTTAGTCAGGCATTAAACTCAATAAAAAGCAATAAATCTGTTGGTGCAGATAATTTACCAAGCAAGCTATTAAAGTTGGTCTACGAGAAAAACTTGGTCATAATAGTAGAACTGTTCAACGCTATCTATACTACGGGAATCAATCCTAGAGAACTGTTGACACCAGCATTTGTGTGTTTGCGAAAGAAAGTGATTGCCAAAGAGTGCAGTGACTATCGAACCATAAGCTTGTGTCACATAGAATAGGTAGAAGAATAGGTAAAGAGAAGAAAGTTGAACTTACAATTAAAAAAAGAAAGCTACAGTGTCTCGGACATGTGATGCGGGGCGAGAAGTATCCTACTGGCATCCTACGACTTATAATGCAAGGAAAGATAGATGGCAGAAAAAGCATCGGAAGAAGACGAATTAAATGGCTTAAGAACCTGAGAAAATGGTTTGAATGTAGCTCAAAACAACTATTTAGAGCTACTGCCTCAAAAATTAAAATAGATATGTTGATTGCCAACCTCCGTAGCGGAGATGGCACCTGAAGAAGAAGAAACTACAAAACGGTAACCTCACAAAATATTTTGAACGTATTTACAGTTAAATAAAAAATATTTCACTTAAATAGTGTTTATACAAGGTGGTCCAGAATTATGTACATTAATTTCTAGAGCTCATAGTACGTCCAAAAATAAAACTTTTTTATAAAACTGAATAATAAGGAAGATACAACCCTTTAAAGGGGTGAATTGAAATTCTTATTTTTTCAAATATCTTCCAAACGGTTTCGAATACAGAGTTCATATTTTGGGAGTGATTATAAGACATTAGGATAATTAATTTCATGTCACTACCTACCACATCCTACATTAATACAGGGTAGTTTTGGAGGGTAAGTGGGGGTTATTGCGTCACATGTTTTTAATTTTTACATATTTTAAAGAAATATTTTAAAAATTGTTTCCTTAGACTTTTCTACGCAAAAAAGGTGCTCTTGTAATATTTCGATAGATATCACCGTTTTCGATTTATTTAAACTCGAAGGTATACATGTATTTTATTGTAATCGTTACATTTCTTAATATTCATCAAGTATGCTTTGGAATTGACACTTGTGTTAGCAATAATATTACAAATTAATGAAAAACTTAATTAATACTTAACATTTAATTAATATCGAAAATAATATGTTGTAAAATATTGTATGTTGTAACTGTTCAAAATGTCCTCCATTTTGTTGAATACATAATCTAATTCTTTTATTTAGCTAATGCATAAATCCATTTAATGTTACTGGCTCGTTTTGTAAACCGGTAAATACTTGTTCAATTTTGTCCCTTAACTTATTTACTGTATTAATTGGAGTATTATACACTTTTGATTTCAAATAACTTCATACTGTAAAGTCCATTGGATTAAGATCACAACTACGAGCAGGCCAATGAATCGGTGCATCCGCACCCCGGCCTATCCACCTATCAGAGAAATGTTCATGCAACCACCTTCTTCAAATTCTTGTGTAATGTGGTGTAGCACCATCATGCATGAAAAACATGTTTCTTCGTATTTGTAATAGAATATCTTCCAAAATATCATGTAAAATATTGTCTAGAAAATTGTAATACATGTTACTCTTTAAATTACCGAAAAAAATGTGGTATCTTATGAAACTATTTCCTAAAGTAGCTGCCCAAACGTTTATCTTGAACGTGTGTTGGAAATGAGTTTCCATTGTAGCCCTTGGATTTTCTTCAGCCCAGAAGTGCATATTTCTAGAATTGAACATACCTTGTCTTGTAAATGTGGCCTCGTCTGTAAACAGAATGTTGCTTAAAAAATTTGGTGCAGTTTGAACTTTATTTTGCAATACTTCACAAAAATCAACTCTAAGTGGCATATCGTCAGGTAACAATTCCTGCACCTGTCGATAGTGGTAAGGATGTAATTGCTCTTCATGCAGAACTCTTAAAACACTTTGATGGGAAATATTCGTTTTTAATCCTAACCTGCGTGTACTTATTGTGGGTTCATTTAATACAGCATCCAATATTTGCTGTTCAACGCGACATTTCTTGCTTCTCTACGACGACCAGCATCTGTATTCCTTCTTTGAAGACAACCGGTTTCTCTCAGTCGTCGTTCAGTACTTACAAAAGTCCTGGCATTGGAAATATTTCTGTTCGGCTACTTTTCTCTGTAGCGTCTTACAGCGGTAGCAGCATTTCCCGAACATTCACCTAATACTAAAAGTATGTCTGTCATCTCAGAATTTGAATAGTGTGCCATATTGCCGGCAAACAAATTTAAAAATATAGCAAAAGAGACGTGTTAAACAAATTTCACTATCGAGTACAATAAAAGTGTAGATAAAATAATTTAATTGGTATTAAACGTCACTGGCAATTCATAGACTACTTGAAAATAAAGTTTTGTTGCTAACACAAGTGTTAATTCCAAAACATACTTGATGAATATTAAGAAATATAACGATTACAATAAAATACATCTCGAGTTTAAATAAATCGAAAACGGTGATATCTATCGAAATATTACAAGAGCATATTTTTTGCATAGAAAAGTCTAAGAAAACAATTTTTAAAATATTTTTTTAAAATATGTAAAAACTAAAAAACATGTGACGCAATAACCCCCACTTACCCTCCAAAACTACCCTGTATTAATCTAGGATGTGGTAGGTGGTGACATGAAATTAATTATCCTAATGTCTTATAATCACTACCAAAATATAAACTCCGTATTCAAAACCATTTGGAAGATATTTGAAAAAATAAGAATTTCAATTCACCCCTTTAAAGGGTTGTATCTCCCTTATTATTCAGTTTAATAAAAAAGTGAACATAAAGAAGTACCCTTATTTTTGGACGTACTATGAGCTCTAGAAATTAATGTATATAATTCTGGACTAGCTTGTAGATAAGTACCCCGAAACTTTTAAAGTTAATTGCGTTTTTCTCGAAAAGTATATGTCTGCAGATACTGTGTTTTTCATTGGAGCAGCCGTTATGTGTGTCACGATATCGATTAATTTATTTATATATGAAATATTTTTGTTAATTTGGGATTTTCGATACTCCTTTGTATATAGTGCTCGACTGTGCTTGATATAAATCAACCACAAAAAATATTGGTTGTACAATGTAAATATTTGAAGTCGTGCAACACTGTATGATCTTTCACACATTTATTTCAGTTCGCTATTGCCGATTACGGAAGTAAATGTATATTTCACTTACCAAACATGTGTTTATTATTAGAGGGATTTTCCTTTTTCCTCTCCCATGAAAATTCATCGGACTCTTTGGGCATGTGATTATAACCAATACCAACCACAACTTTATCTTCGTTTACGATACAGGCACCAACCTGTGTTTCTGGATCCTTACTTCTTCTGGCCGCTACACAGGCAAATTCCATAAAATATTCGTCGTCGGTTTCCAGATAATTGCTGTAAATTAATCCAGAAACATTAACATTATAGTGCATAATTTAATCATGAAAATATCTTACCTTCGGTGTGCCATTGTGCGCAAACTGTTTCTATACTTTTACTGTTGCAATTTGCAATTACTTGATTAGTCTAGTCACTGTTGCAATATGCAATTACTTGATCACTCTAGCCAGCTGTTAAATATCATAGGATAGTTTTGAGGTGCATCTTTATTGCTTGGTCAAGCGTTATTTTATAAGCGTTACGTTAATTTGTTTTTAATTCATATTACTTTCGAAGTCGTTTTTAACGTAATAAATATTTTATTTAAATAAAAAATAAAATAGAGTAATTAAATGCATGTTTATTCCTTGGTCGAACGTTATTTTATAAGAGTTACACTTAATACAAAGGTTTATATTATATTCTTTTTTATTTATATTATTTTCGAAGTTGGTTTTAATAAACAATATAGACAGTTTAGATGATTACTGTATCGCACCCATAGTATTCATTTATTATGTTGATATTTTTATTAATAAATAAAGCATTAAAAAAGATTATATTCGACAAAAAAAGAGGATAAAATTTTTCATTTCATCTAACCAGTCTCTCTTCTCTTTTTGTCAACCATTTTCCGTCCACGCCTGAATGTAGGTCTCTCCCAATTGCTTCCAACTTTCTCTATCTTGTGCCAATCTAATCCACCGTTTGCCTGTCACTGCTCTTATGTCATCTACTCATATTATTTGAGGTCTTCCCATGCTTCTTCATCGCACCCACAGTATTCATTTATTATGTTGATATTTTTATTAATAAATAAAGCATTAAAAAAGATTATATGAGGCGCTCCGAGGAAAAAGGGCGAATACGCCAGTTACAGTTTTTTTTTTTAATGCAATGGATAGCCTGATCATTATTCGAACAATGTACCACCATAACATGGTTTATTCGTCCTTTCTATTCAGAACTATAATAGGTTGACTTAACGGAAGCAAACTGTATGAATCTTAAAAAGTACGGTAAATGTTCCGTGGAACAACGGCGAATACGACACCGCTACGTCGGTACACAGCTAGCCCTCCCACTTCTGTCTTGCCAAATTTCTGAATAAAATTTCCGTGATTTCTGTCTTATTTTTACCGTTTTAAGCTACAGTGTCGTTTTGCTACAGTGTCAAAATAAAAACAAGTAGTTTTTATTTTGATTAGTTTGAATAGTTTGAGTTACTTTACTAATAAAGTTAAAATTTTACTGCTACAATGTCAGAAAGCGAGTTTACAGAAGACCAAAACAAAGGCTACACTAGAAAAAGGTCGAAAAATGAAGACACGTGGCAAAAGAATGTGAATAAAGTTAAAAGAAACTCAGGTGAAGAATACAGCACCATTAAAAACAGAAAACTTGTGCCTAAGCGGACTGTGGGAAGTCCCTGTTCCTGTGGATGTTTTGAGAAAGTAGGTTTGGAGAAAATTAGTATAATTTTTAAAAAACTTTTGGGAATTATCTGAGTATAACCTACAAAACACTTACTTATCTAAAAGAGTGAAATCTGTTTCTGTCAACCGTTGTCGCATTAAAAATCAACCTAGTCGAAAGTTACGTAGTATTGAGTACAGTGTACTTTTTGAAAGCAATGAATTTAAAGTCTGCAGAAAAGCATTCTATGCGATTCATGGTGTCACTGAAAAGAGGGTTCGAACTGTTTTGAATAAAGTATCCACAAGTGGCACTGTAGAATTGGACAGAAGAGGAAATAAAAATCCAGTTAACAAAGTAAGTGTAGAAATGAAAGAAACTGTAATGTTACATGTAAATAGTTTACCCAAATGTTCAAGCCATTACAGCAGAGCAAAAAGCCCTTACCGAAAGTACCTTTCCACAGACTTAAACATAAACAAGTTGTATGACCTGTACTGTGAGTGGATGACAGAAAATCACCCTTTAATTGAACCTGTCAGCTCACGGTTCTATCATGACACATTTAATAAAAAACTCAATATTGGTTTCAACCCTCCTAAGTCGGATACTTGTAATTTTTGTGACAAAACAGATATGGAACTTTCAAATTGTGATGATTTACAGCGTAACCAATTACAAGTTGCCAAGGAACTTCATTTAAGACGAGCCAAAGCAGTTCAAAAAATACTTAAAAGTTATAAAAGTAATAATGAAGACTCAGTTTCAGCAATTTGTATAGATCTGTAGCAAACTCTTCCTACCCCTAAACTGACGACATCTGTACAGTATTACAAAAGGAAGCTTTGGACCTACAATTTTGCAGTCCATGATGTTAAATCTGGAAAATGTGTTATGTACATGTGGAATGAAAGTACTGGAGGTCGTGGTTCATGTGAAATAGCAAGCTGCTTGTCCCATTACTTTGATTCTATGGATCATCAAGTCAAAAAAGTTGTGCTATTTAGTGACAATTGTGGCGGCCAGAACAAAAATATGAACATTGTTTTAGCTTGTTTGAAAAAAATTCATGAGTTAAAATTTGATTTCATAGAACATTACTTTATGATTCCTGGACATTCATATTTACCTTGTGACAGGGATTTTGGTCACATTGAGTTAAGGCTTCGAAATATTGATGTTTATTCTGAAGACCACTATATTGACTTAATTCGTTCATCAAGGAAGGTCAGACCATTCAAAGTAGTAAAAATGACATCATCAATGTTGTTTTGATTTCACTGCTCTTCAGAAGTTAATTACAAAAAAAAAATCAACTGCTAGTTTTAAAGATGGTAAAGTATTTCTTTACTCCAAGTTGTTCAAACAAGGGTTTTCCATACAACCAACGTACCAAAATATTTTGTCCGAACAAGTTGTTTTGCAGAAAGGAAAAGTAGGAGAATATCAACGCCATTTGTTTGATTTATCTGCCGCAGTTTTGTCTCCTAAATACCAACAGCCGATAAAACTTTCAGAGGAAAAAATAAAAGACATCAAGTCACTTCTTCCATGCATACCGCTTCATCATAGGAGTTTCTTTGATGAGCTGATCTCTCTCCAAGAATCACAAACCAATTTGGCAACGCTAACTGGAGAAAGTCAGGATGATGTTATGAATTTTTGCTTGAATTAATAATTTATTGTTTGGTGTTTTTTTAGTTTTTGATTTATCTTAAACAAAACAATTTTTAATTAAAAAATGTTTTTCATATCATATCCTTTGAATAAAACTTTTTTCAATATCCTGAATTATAATTTTGGTTTAGATGGGCTGATCTTATTTGCTTAACAAGCAAAACTTTTTATAAAATAAATAGTTTTTACCTAACCGCATTACAAAATTTTGATGACGTGTATATTCGCCCTTATTGAATTAAAAACACTTTTTCAACTTTAATCGCGTTTTTCTCAAAATGCCCATTTGGCATATTCGCCGTTTGTCCACGGAGCGCCTCATATTCGACAAAAAAGAGGATAACATTTTTCATTTCGTCTAACCAGTCTCTCTTCCCTCTTTGTCAACCATTTTTCGTGCACGCCTAAATGTAGGTCTCTCCCAATTGCTTCCAATTTTCTCTAACTTGCGCCAATCTAATCCACCGTTTGCCTGCCATTGCTCTTATGTCATCTACTCATCTTTTTTGAGGTCTTCCCATGATTCTTGTTGTCGTCATTCGTCTCCATTCTAGAATTCTTCGTATCCACCTGTTGTCATTATATCGGGATACGTGACCTACTCAGCGCCATTTTATTTTTGTAATTTCTTCCAAAATAGACAGTAAGCGAGGGGCAAGCAGGAGAAGACACTCGTGGCTCCAAAATCTGCGGAAGTGGTTCGGGCTCACATCGGTCGAACTATTCAGAAGCGCCGCAAACAAGATCAAAATTGCCATGTTAATAGCCAACGTTCGCAACGGACAGGGCACTTGAAGAAGAAGAATTTCTTCCACAATATCCCTAATCTTCGTTCTACGTCTTGTCTCGGTGTTTTTAATCTTATCTTTCAGTGATATTCCAAGCATGATTTGTTCCATTTTTCTTTGCGTTGTTTTTAATTTTTTAGCAGATTTTTTGGTAAGGGCTACTGTCTCCAAGCCGTAGGTACAAACTGGTAGTATGTATGTGTTATACACCATATTCTATAAGTTTGCAGGAATGGAGGTGTTTTTCAAGATATATATGCTAGTTTGCATATGACATTGTAATGTATTATGACATTGAGCAAAGCGCAGGTCCAATGTCGAAAAGACAAACAGAAGACAGAGACAAATGGAGACAAATGAGAGAGGCCTGTATTCAACACATGAATAGATTTTGGGCTATATGCCTATTTGCCTATTTTGGCCCCATGCCAGTTGTGATCTTCTTTTAATTTAACCATCTTGATTTGGTTTTCCTAGTTTGATGATATGACCTAGATATACATAATGTTCAACATTTTCTATGGTATGATTTTGTATTGTTAAATTTGTCTGGTCTCGGCTCAACATTTCTAATTTACTGCAGTTAATTTTAAAGCCTAATTATTTTGGTTTTGATGAAAACCATTGTTTTGGCGACGTTTTTGTAAGGTCGCACTTGCCATTGTTAAGTCAGGTAGTAGCGCTTCTATAGTCTATAATATATCAGTGTTAGACTTCAGACGCATATAAAATTCAAGCTTTTATTTTTGTTTAAATCCAACAACAATTTTTTTGTTTAAATCCAACCGAATAATTAATTACTATTATATTAAAATAAAGTTTTTATCGATAATCTCACGCTATTCACAAATCATATCTATAAACAGTTAAAAGCATTGAGAAATCAGAGTACAGAGAATTGCATAATATTAGCATTATCGGTACTTCAGATATTTCTGATGCACCGAAAACTCATGACTTTGGAGAAGTACGAATGTCGAAAACTCATTACATACGTACGAGAAAACGATTTGGTTTTTTTTTCGTTTATCTGTAAATCCTCTAAAGCAGAAAAATATTGTACATTTAAACAAAACCGACTCTATAAGGATAAATCAAAGATACATAAATAAATGCAAAATGGTCAAGATGTATCCGGAGCCGGATATAAACTCTGATCACCATTTGTTAGTAACAGAATTTAAAGTAAATAGAGTAAATTGGAATCCAATAAATTAAATACAAAACCAAACTACTTAGGAAAGAATAAAAATC